TGARCTTTAGGGATCTTATTAAAGACGTCATTGCCCGGGCATGTATGCTGGGGTGTTGACCCTATGTTTTCTTCTAGGAATTGCATAATTTCTGGTCCAATTCCTAGGTCTTTGATCCACTTTGAGTTGATTTTTGTGTAGGTGAGAGTTGAAAATCTAGTTCATTCTTCCACAGAGGGATAACCAGTTTTGCCTGYGCCATTTGTTTAAAAGGCTATCTTTTCTCCAATGTATGTTCTTGACGCTTTTGTCAAAGGGCAGATGACTATACATGGTAGGTTTGTCTCTGTGTCTGCTATTCTGTACTATTGGTCTCTAAAAAGCTCACCAAAAAAAAAAAAAAAAACCTATTAGAAGTAATAAACAAATTCAGCAAAGTAGCAGGATGCAAACATCAACATGCAAAATTTGTGGATTTTCTATTCACTAATAATGATGGATTAGGAGAATGAATATTGTTAAAATCACCAAAAAAAAAAATCTGCAGATTCATTTGAATCCCCACCAAAACACCAATGACATTCTTTACAAAACTAGAAGACAAATTTCTGAAATTAATGTGGAAGCTCAAAAGAACTTGAATAACCAAAGTAACGATGAAAACATCACAACACCTGGTTTGAAAATAGACTACAGAATCATAGTAACAAAAASASCATGGCCCTGGTATAAAAGCAGACATGTAGACCAATGGAATAGAGTAGAGAACCCATATATTGACCCCCACACTCACAGCTAACTGATTCTTAACAAAGGTGCCCAAAGACAACCTCGTCAACAATCGGTGCTATATAAATAGGTATCTCCCTATAGAAGACTGAAACTACACACTGTGTCTTGCTGTTCACAAGAATCAAGTCAAAACAGATTGAAGACCTCAATGTAAGCCCAGATCTTTGAAACTTCYAGAAGAAAACACAGGGAAACACTTCAAGGTGATTGAAAGAAGGGACGGATCCCTCCCTAGGACTCCAGTAGCTTAGGGAATAAAGGCAAGAATTGACACAGGGGACTACATCAAATTAAAAAGCTGCACAGCAAAGAAACAATCCAGAGTGAAGAGACAGCCCGCAGAATGGGAAAAAGTCCTCGCCAGCTCTTCATGTGCCAGAGGACTAATACCCAGGGAGATAGAAAGAACTCTAGAAAGTCTCCAACAAAGAGCAGGTGCTCCAACAGGAAAGCAGGMAAATGATCCGGACAGAAACTGCTCAAAAGAAGAAGTGACCCATAAATGTCCGAATTCTTTAGCCTTCAGGGAAATGCAAAACTACATTGAGATTCCATCTCACCCCAGTCACAATAACCATTACCAAAGAAACAAAAAAAATTGCATATATCGATGATACCCATGAGGGTGTGGGAAAAAAAGGAACACTTACACACTTTTGGTGGGAATGTAAATTAGTACAGCCACTACGGAAAACAGTATGGAAAAAAAACAACGAGAATACCATTAACATAGGATCTAGCTATTCTACCCTGGATATTTACCTGAAGGAAATGCAGTAGGATACAAGGAGATCTCTGCATTCCCAAGTTTACTGTGGCACTGTTCACAATAGCCAAGATATGGAACCAACCTAGGTGCCCACTGACAGACACAACCGAAAATCATATATCTATACAGCAATTATGTATATAGTGCATATGCACATTATATCTATCACGTACTTTCTCTCATGTGTGGAAACAAAATAAAASAACAACAACAACAACAACAACAAACCTGAAAGTGGGAGAGGATCGAGTAGGGAAAGGGAAAGTAATGGGGTTGGGGGAACATGGTCCCACTGTGATATATGCGTGCATGAAAATGTCACAGTGAAACACATTAATTTGTACAATTGAAATGTGTTGATAATAATAATAAAAAAATCTCCCATGCATACACAGTAATTGTGCAATGGGAGGATCAGGCCGATGGGTTTATCCATCACTCAAACCTGTCATTCCTTCCTTCTGGGAACATTGAAAATCCTCTCTATTGGGTATTTGGAAATATGCAATTAATTGTTGTCGACCGTGGCCTCCCCTCTGTGGCCACAGAACAGTAGAAGTCCTTCCTCTTATCCACCCACCCACTGACTTTCTCTTGATGATTTAACAGATGCTCAGGAAGCTCGGAGCACACGTGCTGGACACCTCGGTGCTCGTCAAACATTAACTGAGAGGATCCTTGGCCCAGCAGGACAGGGCGGAGCCTGCGGTCCCTGGGGCTCCATCACCCCTGTTTACTCCTCCGACTTCCCCCTCCGGCAGGCATTCACCAGCTTGTTTTTCTGGTGCGGAGGTTGCCCTGGGCCAAGCCCAGCATCGCCTCAGCAGCCTGCTGCACCCTGGCCTGGGGACCAGGAGGACAGTGACTCCAGCCGACTTTGTCACTCTGGAAACTCATGACCTTTATTCAGAATCATCTTGCGGTCCCCGTGTCACACAGCCACCTCATTCCCCACTCCTCCCCCACCCCATGCCTTTTATTTTCTTCTCATCTGGGGAGATTAATATACTAGAGCTGCATTCCTCCAGGACACTTGCTTTCCCTTTGTCTCTTCTCTTTCCTCCACCTCTTTGCTCTCTGGGTGCTTCTCAGACACTGGCAGGGTGTATGAAAGGATGTGACCGTGTTGAAGACCAAGGGCTGGAGTGTTGACAGCCCACGGTACTGTCCTGACTGTACCCTCAGGGCTGAGAAGAACAACTGCTCTGTGAGGTTTCTCATCAGGATAACCGAGAACACCCTATGAATATGTAACTAATATTAACAGCCTGTTAGTAATACAACACGTGATAACGCAATGCACAATAGCTTCATGAGATCGTAAGGACTGGARATCCTGCGATGACCCTCAGGAAGAGCTTAGGACCTGGCCGGCACGAGCACTCAGCCTGTTTACCTGCCGTTATTAGTAGTTGTAGAGAAGCTCAAGGTGTGCTGCTCACTGAGGCTTTGTGGCCTCTGGCTCTKGGTTCCCCATTCACATATTGTCTGAATGAGCTATGCACGGTGTGTCCAGAGCTTTTACTTGATAATGAATGGCACAGTGGAGTAGTCAGAGCAGAGGTGGCCTGCCCTTTATAAAAAGAAACCTAACCGGTCCCTGGCCTGGGGAGCAGGAGCAGCAGCGTGTCCTTCCCACTGTGCAAGGACAGGATGCTCCCAGAGTACCTGGGAGAACCAGAGGGAACTCAGGAAGAGCCTGCTCCTCTCTCTTCCTCCCTCCCTACACAGGGCCCTTCCACAGAGGGCTCTTTTGTTTCAGGGCTTACATAGAACCTTACGGACAAGGATGACCGGCAGGCCCTGCACAGCCAGTCCTTCAGCAGGGCCCCTTTCTGCCCTGGGTTTCTCAGTCTGAGGGACTCCCAGGGTTCAGAGTCTGCATCCCACTCACAGGGACAGGGCTACCTTAGGGGGGAGCTTTTCCTGCATTCGTCTCCTGCGTTTATTTGGAATTGGGCGTCTCCTCTGCGCATTTGTCTGGCTTTGGGGATTGGAACTCGTACGGGACCGCAAAGAGGTGCCCATGACCACAGATGAGCTCTAGCTGAGGGGGTGCAGCCCGGGCTGGAGTGGAAGGTCTGGATTCTGCTTTGGGAGATGGTACAGGGTTGTGGGAAGAACTGAGGCTTGAGATCCAAGCTGGCACCTTAGCTCTGCCCTCACGAGATCTGGGATGTCCCCTCCCTGCGCCTCTTTTCTTCACCTGAAAAGTACAGTGATGTCCTGAGGAGCGGAGCTGGCAGGGTCCCCACTAACACTCTTGGGGAGAGCAGGGTCCTATCTTTTTCAGCACCGAAGCCCCAGAACCTAGAACACTCCTTGGCCTGCCTGAGCACTCAGCAAATACCTCTCTTGGAATGGAGATGAAAGCCTGTGGGGCTCTTGGCACGTGGGAGATGGAACAACAGTCACATAACCATGTCTATTCTAAATCAGGAACTCACAAACTCTGTATGGCCCCCCAGCTGGTGTTGTAAATAAAGTTTTATTGGAACATAGCACTGCCCATTCCTTTACATGTTGTCTGTGGTTGCCTTCCTCTTGCAGTGGTGGAATAAAATAGTTGAAGAGAGACGTGCGGCCCCTATTACCTAAAGTCTATACTGTTGGGCCATTTGCAGCAAAACTTAAGGACTCCGGCTCTGAATGTCAAGGTTTTCCTGTGTACGGATGATCACGGATTTCATTTTCCCAGGTAGTATCAGGCATTACAAGTCGGAAACCTGCGGTGAGCCCCAGTTGTGAATTTTCGATATCGTCTCTAAGATATTTAGGGTTAGCTTTAACCGACTGCGCGGTGGCCTGGCTCTCATGTGGATGGAGGTGTTACTTTCGTTTCTGTGTAAAAAGAAACTTAACTACTCACCTGTCCATTCCTGACGTATTCACTAGGGACAGACCGCATGTCCTGCAAGAAGTCCAGGGCCAGAGACGCACACAGGAGGTGGCCCACCAGGTACAGCCTGCTTTACAGCCTCAAATACAGGCTACTGACGGGGTGCAGGAGGGCATCCACTGTGCGAGCTCGGGAGACAGGTTTTCCACTCCCTCCTCCATCATAGTAAACCACGCCATCTCGGACACCTCAGCCTCACTGGACTTGATCTCCAGTCTGTGAGATGGTAACCATGACATCTCCCACGCTGGTTTCTCATGAAGATTAAATAAGATGATGTATCAGGTGTCCAAAACTTAGTATCCACTCGGCAATCTTATGATAAATGGTCTTTATTTATAGCTTGGTTGAGAGATATTCCAAGATCTCTGCTCGGTGTTGTCACTCTCTCTGATGATCGGCAGCCATGGGTGAGAGCCCCTCAGGACCTTGGATTCTGGGCTGGTGAAGGAGACCTTCCTGGAATGGACATCTTGTGTCAAGTACCCTGAGGTCTGCACCTGAGGGCTTCCCTGATCCCTGTCCAGCTGAGCAGTGCGGTGGGCTCTGTCCTGCTGCCACGTCACAGTCTGCAGATCTTTTTTCTTTCTTTTCCGGCAGGACAGAACAACAGGCTCCCAGAATCCTACAACAACACAACCAGAGGAGCATTTCAGAGACCACCGAAGGCTGGCGAGTTCCCCGAGGCTAGTGGGTCCCCAAACAGGAGCAGGAGCCCAGATGGGGGCTGGGAGGGGCTTGGCGTGCCCACCAGGACTTCCACATGTAGCACCTGGTTTGTGGATTTGGTTGATGGCTTTGAACTGTGCCCGGAGCATGGTGAATGCTTTATAAATGTTTCTGGAGAGGATGGACGGTGGGTTCCCCCTGGTGAGCACGCTGCCTGCCCCTCAGCCACTCCAGCCCCATGTCCAGTGTACTAGCAGGTGGGCTGGCCAGAAAGCAAGTGTTCCCAGCAGGCCCTGCCTGAGTTTATCCAGGACCCAGGCTCCCCGAGTTTCCTTTGGGGTCGCCTGTCTTGCTCCTTTTTGCGCATACACTATACCCCTATGCCAGGGTTCTTCCCCCTGGAAGAACCTTAGACCAGTCCTGCTGCCCCCCAACTGCTATTGCCCCAGCCAGGACTGGATTCTGGTATGTGGCCTTGGGTCCGGGTGGGGGCAGGCACAGGAAGCTCATCCAAAGCCTCTGTTCCCTGTCACACCCAAGCTCTGACTGAGACCCCTTCCATCCCTAGGAAAAGCCCTGGGTTTGGGGATCACAGAGAACAATGCCAGACCTGGGGCAATGCTTGACCTCAGGGCTGGACAGGTGGACGGTGCCTCTGTGATCGGCAGGCSACGCACAGGGCTGCTGAGGTGGTGAGAATGGAAAGGCAGTGGCCAGGGGACAGCAGGCTTTTGAGATCACCCTCGTGCCCTCCCCACTGGGCGGTCAGGATGGCGGTTAAGCCTGCCTTCTGGTGGCCCCTCCACCCCGGGGTGGATCACTGCACTCAGAGGAAGGCAGAGAGGCTGTGTGACCTGCAGCAGGTTGCTTCACACTCTGTGCTGACTCACTTTCCTCTCTTTTTAAGAGGGAGTGTGGTGATGGCTGCCTGGCAGGATCTTCTGTGTGAGATAATGYGGCTCCCGGCACATAGCAGGTGCTCAGTAGGAAAACGCCTGGTGCCCACACCCCTCCCAGGTGCAGCCTTCCCTGCAGAGCCAGCTGGCAGCCTCCAACTGAGCCTGTCCTGGGGACTGTGTTCCTCCTGCCTCCAGGCCCCCAGGCCCCCGGGAGGGCAGTGGTGCCCTGGCCTGTTTCTGCTCTGAATGAAGTGGCATCGTGGCTGGCCAGCATCTGTGAGGGTCGTTGTCTGAAAGCTCCCTTTGCCCTTTGCCCCTCCTGTGGGGGCATCATGGCCCTTCTACAGACCGCTCCTGCCCTGAGATGAGGCGACTCRCCCAGCATCACCCAGCTGGCCACCCACCTGGACCTCTCTGGTCACTGCACATGGTAACACCAGTTCATGCCCTCGTCCTCCTCAGGTGACACAGAACYGTGTGCTCTTGGCCTTCGGAGGAGGGACGCTTCCAGAGGCACTTCAAGGCAGCCAGGAAGGGCCAAGGGCCCAAGGCCACATGTGGCACCTTCTAACTCCAAGAGGCCTGCCCAGGGTCACAGTGGGCAGAGGGCAACAGAATGCCCACGTGGACCTCCTAGTCCACTCCTGTCTGCTCTGGACGCCGTCCTTGTCCCCTGGGCTGTCCCTTCACAGGGTCACTGTTCCTCTGGCAGCTGACCAAGGGCTTATCATACCCATAAATAAAGTGACAGTTACTTCAGGTACTTTCTTTCTCACTACAAAAGTGTTGTAGAGTCACTAGAGAAAATTTAAGTAAATAAAAATAACCAGATTAATCTCCAATAAAATAGAGCCAACTTGCATTTTAACATATAATTTCCTAGTACATTTTCTGTGTGTGTGTGTGTGTGTGTGTGTGTGTGTGTACATATATATGGAGATTTTATTTTAGAGGCTGTTTCCCAACTTGCTCTTTTAGTTAAAACTGTACCATGAGCATATTTTTTTTTAAATTTAATATTCTTTGACAATAAACTTTGCTAATGGCTTCTGTTGATTTTCGTCTTCACTGTTGGGTGACTTCCCAGTTTTACCTCAGCCCCTGAGCCTGGTGGCTTGGCTCACAGATGGATGGTGCTGGCAGCAGCAAGGAGTGACGTCTGGGGTGGCCGACCAGGGATTAGCTGGAGAGTCTGCAGAGTCCTCCGAGAGTCTTCCCTCTGGCCCTTCCTCCTTTCTCCTTCTTAAAAAATCTTGTGCATGTGTTTTACCTCGTCATGTAAATATGCATTTATTTGAAGACCATCTGGCCCCTTGGTGTGGTTCTGGGATGTGGTGATGCACGCGGTGGGAGAGGTCTCTGCTCCCCTGAGTGGTCCAGGGAGGACAGAGGTGAGGGTCACCTGGGTTAARTCTAACACAAAACCGTGGGTGAGAAGGAGCAGCCGGGGAGCCCGGCTGGGGAGGGCACCGTGTAGCCAAGAGCTGAAGCGAGATGGGGAAGGTGTCCCAGGAGGGCTGAGGCAGGTGCCTTTGCATTTTGCGGTCACTGTGGCTGCTGAGTGGAGACCGAGCTGCGGGAAACCGTTGACGGTCTCTGGGCTCGTGYGCCACGGGACCGGGGAACTCGGGAAGAGGAGGTTTACTTTGGGAAGTTGGAGGACCCAGGAGACCAAGGTTCCTAGTAAAATGTGACAGAGAAAAAGAAGAAATAGCCTGGGTTCTAGAAAGAGCAGAGGCACGACCCATCCCCAGAGGATGTCCTTCCCGTCTGCAGTGACAGTAACCCACGATTACTCAGAGCTGAAGTCAGAGCTCAGAGCCGGCTGCCAGCAGAGGCCCAGTGGAGACCCAGTCTTGCTGGCTTGAGCCTTAAAGGAGGCTGAGGCCCAGTGGAGACCCAGTCTTGCTGGCTTGAGCCTTAGAGGAGGCTGAGAGCCCAGGGAGGCCACTTGCCCGAGGCACCGGCTGGAGCTTGGAGGGAAGAGAACAGGCCTGCTTCCCAAGACCCCAGCAGCCGGCAGCCCCTCTGGGGTTCAAGGCAGCGTGAGCTGTGGAGGGCGCCTCCTCCTGGGGTGAAAGGGGGTGAATTCCGCTGGTCCACCTCTGGCTCCTGGGCCATCCAACGCTGTGGCTCCTGTTCCATTCCTGCCCTGGCCTCCAGGCCTGCAGCTTCTTCCTGTCCCAGTGTCCCATCCCCTGCCCTGGTTAGGCAGACTGTCCGCCCTCTGTGGTGCTCCTCAGTATGTAGAATTGTGCCCCCCAGAGAGGCTTCAGGCCRTGAATGTGGCCTTCTTCTTAGAAATAAGATCTTTGCAGGTATTTCTAAATTCAGGCAAAGTCTCATGGGATACGGTGGCCCCTAACCCAGTAAGTAGGATCCTTATAAGGCCACAGAGAAGGTGACATGAAGGTGGAGGCAGAGGTGGGGGCAGAGGGTCTGCAGGTCAAGGAGCACCAGGGTGACCAGAGCCATCAGCGCCAGGGTGCAGCAGGAAGGGTCCTCCCCGTTGGATCTGGGGGGACCAGGACCTGGCTCACACTGCGACACCAGGTGTCTGGCCTTCAGAGCGGTAGGAGAATGCCTTTCTGTGGCACCCAGTTTGTGGCCCTTTGTGACAGCAGCCCCCCCACCCCCGGGACCGCTGGCCTTCAGTTCTACCTGGACTCTGCCTGCCTTACAGGGGCTTTCCTTGGCTCCCAGTCATCCCCAGTCCCAGGTGGCCCATCTTTGGCACCYGTTGCCAACACCCCACCCAGCCTGGTTCGCAGAGTGCCCCCCTGCACACGTTGGAGACTAATAAATATTTGTTCAATTAATGCAGGGCTGCCCTAGGAGAATCTTCCAAATGTACTGATCCTCTGTATTTGAATCTGTGGGTCATGAGATCCCCAGTCAGAAGATTGCCTGGGTGCTTCCCCTGCAAATCCTCAAAACGCAATTATTCAAATTGAGTCGTTCACCCCCTGGGACCCGAGACCCAGAGTCGTGAAAACCTTTGAGGACTTTCCAAACCAGGGTCGGTTCTTACTGTTCAGCATGGATGTTTTCCTGCTAAGGACAYGAACCACAAATGAGTGTTGCCGAGTGATAAGCAAGACCTTATATAGAATAAAGGAAAAAACCCTCCGAAAATGTAAGCGCTTTCACACTRAAGCCTCTCCAACTTCCCCCTTCCTGCCTCCAGTCACCAGAACTTCCCAGACTTATTTCCGAGGTCATGATGGATGGTGACCCTATTTCAGACCTCCCCAAATTTGGTTGTATTTTCCCTCCTTGGGTTTCAGACAGAGATGTTGGTGAGTGCTCATAAGTGCTCCTAGAATTTACATCTGTGTAGGTTTGGCCTTTGATGGATTCAGAATTGTCTTTTAGTGAGCACCTACTATGCACCAGGCAGATTTTTAACTTTGTTTTACTTACTCTGTTCCAGAAAATTCAGTGCACTATTAAGCAGATCCATTTTACTGGTGTAGAAACTGAAGCTCAGAGAGATTAAGTAATTTGCCTAAGGTCATTCAGCCTGCAAGTGCTACAGTCATTTTCAAATCTGGGTCTGTCTGATTTTAAAGCCAGTGGTTTTGATTTTGGAGTTTTTTTTTTTCTTCACCTCTAAATTTTACAACCCAAAATACCACCCTAGCTAGAAATTGCAAAGGGGCTTTATTATAAGAATGTGGGTTGTACCAGGGACTGCCCTGTGGTTGTCCAGCAGCCTGTCAGGAATTTTGACTGTTAGATGCTAGGACCTAGGAGCCTTGGCAAGCAACCTGGCCCCTGGTCATCTGCTCCTGGGGCTGCTCTTCTTGGGGTGGGAGGACATGTATCAGAGCCTCTCCAAGGCTCTGTGTCCTCCCCTCTAAAATGATCAAAAATAAGGGTAGACACCTGGCCTCAGGGTCCCCCTTGGGGTGAAGTGAAAGGAAACAGTAGCCACGGCTCACTCTCCCCATCTTCCACTGTGCAAAGTGGACTCAAAGTGAGCCGTGCTGTTTCCCTGACCCGCTGTGTGGTTGGGCCTCTCCACGCCCTGAGTCGGTGATGAGGTGGGGAGGTACCAGCCTGTCGGGAGTGTCACTCGAGCACACTGGATTTGT